GTTTTCTTCCTATTCTTGCTACTGCTCCCACCAACTTCAGAATACATGCGCGTTTCTGACTCTCACTGTCGATTCTCCAATCGACGTGCTTTCTCATCACACACATCCGCCTCACCTCTCTCTCTCTCTCTTAATTTCTGTTCCCGTCCGGCTCTACGCCAAAGTCTCTATCATTATAGGCTCTTAGTAATCCATCCGAAATATGATCTACGGATATCTAAACACCGTTCCCCATACTCATTTGTAATCCACAATTCATGGTTGAAATTCATCATTCTCGTCATGGCGAATCTTGTCCTCGCTGTTCTGGTGTCCGCAGCCCGCTCATTGTTTGGATTGAAATCATACTAACACATCCTCCTGCTTTGTTCCTCCCCTACGTGCACTATCAACCATCATTTCATTCTAAGCTTTTTTTTCTCACACTCTTGACGCTCTTCTCTCCAACACGCCCCTCTCTCTTGCTCACTCTCTCTTCATTCGTTCTCCAATCGAATTGGAACGCTCCCTTCTCTCGTCGCGCCTACGCTCATCTTTATCTCTCATCTTGTGCCTCTCACTCAACCAATCACGCATCTGTCTCTCTACGTTCTGCTCTTCTCTACTACTTCCCCCAACCACAGTTTATCTGACAACGAAAAAAATTCGCTCTCATACACATCGGCGACCGCTCTCATGCTGCTAACTTCTTCGACGAACGCATCCATCACCGCACGTTATACCAAGTCCTCCTCTCTTGGTGGTTCTTTCTTTCCTCCAGGCTCGTATACTTAAAGCTCCTACAGTTATCCATCTTGTCTGGGCATCACACGGCCACCATACCTTTTTCCCACTTTGAACGTTTTTTTGCATGTACTGCTTTCCATGCCAAGCGACGTCTACGAACTTGATCATGGCCTCATCCCAAGACAATTGATTTTCCTGGAGTTGAGGTGAGCTGGCGGAACACGCTTTCCTTGAAGAGATGGTGATGCAAAGGGAGCGTACTTTCGAGCGCAGATTTAGTCATTTTCATCCATGCTCGCCACCCTCTACGGATCTGTCACATGAAATTACCTTCACCAATTTCATCTCAATCCTCAGTGAGCGGCGTGGCCTTCTCATGCTATGCACATGCCTCTGTTATCTACTCGATATCTCTCATCCTGCCCAAGTCATCGTCGTTCTTCGTTCTCGATCCTCTCCATCTTACGTTCTCTCTCCTCACTTCGTTACGTCTCGCGATTCATTCCCTCACTTCTCCCTGATGTCTCCTCCACTCTTATCCATCGCCTTTCGTTCACACGACGCTTAGAATTGATGGAGATTGGACTCATCCTAGTAATAGAGCGCAATGCTATACGATGTCGACCACGCTCGTCACGGAGTTTATTTCTATTCGCGCCGGTAAGTACTTCCATTTGTTTTGCACCCTGGTAAGCTGCATAATTATTTGATTGAATTTAGCTAAATCAACCAAGAAAAGCCATTCTCCAAGTAACAGCCATCAAAAGTTATCTTCATGCGCATCAAACTGGTAAAGTCGCATTTAGGTCTCAGCTGCTGCCCATTGTATTCTTCAGGGAATCAGCTGACTGTGGCACTGGTGTCAGTCCAGTCAGGGTCACCGACAGCTATAGCAGCACCTTGTCCATTTCCTCTTCCTCGGCCACGTCCTCGACCCCTTCCACGACCACGTCCTCGACCCCTTCCATGACCATGGCCACGACCACGACCAATTGGAGGATTCTCATCGGAAGAAGAATCAAGCTCACGCTGTGGCTGTGATGAATCACTGTCATTACCATGGTCTGATGCATCATCACTTTCTTGGTCATTCTGTAAAAGCACAATGAATGAGAGAGTCAGAAATTGTTCCGTAAGCTCTAATAAACTGGTATCGACAATTGATGCATTTAGAATAATTTGTATAAATTTATACTGTCACAATTTACAGAGAGAACAATATATCAATTTAGCAAATTGTTGAGATCGGGCACCACAGACACATTCAAGTGCTCATTTAGAGAATGTTTTTATATTGATGTTATTGAATTGAAACCTACTAATATTTTTGTAATGCACACAATTGCATACTCTCAAATTTCGCATAGAAAATAGGCCAAAAATACACCTTCATTCAAACTAGCTACCTTCATGATCAATGTAGTGAATTCATGCTTATGGTTTAGTCAAAAAATGTTGCTAGCCTCACTAGTACATGTGCCTATGTCACGACACGTTCTCGCTTGTTTACAAACAAAGGCAGAATTTACATCGGAACAAAAACAGCCAAAATCTTGATAAATAGGCTAGCTAAACATCCGTAATTTTCAACTAGACCCTGCCTGACAGTTCACCAATACTTATTTTGCCATCAAGTATGAAAATCTAGCGATATTTTAGGGTGTCTTGTCATACTACTTATACTAACTACGCAGTAAAATCATGTTGACATGAGAATGTGACATAAACGTCGTCTTACCTCACTATTTACGTTGATATCAGACCCTGAATCTCCACCGGGATACTCCTCATCTGTTTCGTCATCATTGGCGATCATTTCAGCAACCATAGCAGCAGTATAACGCCGAGAAGACATGATAATTTGCGATCGTCTTTGCTGTAATACTCGTTCGCACATTCGTAAAATGGCGATGGACGCCGATGGCGTCCTCACGCGTCACTGCACAATTTCCCTTTCTTAGACGCTCTGTAATTCGCTTACTTTAAATGGAAACCACCCAATCAAAGACCTCCATACATTTACTAGTAATCGTAGGCAGTCGCAGGACGAGTAGCAGAGCGATTCATTCATGGGTTTGACTATAGATGGGGTTATAGTACGACTAGTGCTTACGGGCGTCGGCGGGCGTTCTGGTAATCTATAGAGCGGGCGTTCACGGGCGCTACGGTACCTAAAGGGTACCAAAAAAGGGCCTCCTTAAAAGCCATTAAGGACCTCCTTAATGAAGGACTCCTTGGGAGCTAAGGAGGTCCTGAAGGAGGTCCTCCTAAGGAGGTCCTGAATGCTCCTTTCCTTAAGGACCTCCTTAATGAAGCCATTAAGGGCCTCCTTAAAGGCCATCCTTACCAGGTAAGAATGTGATTACGTGGAGTCCCATGTCCACAGGGACCACTATATCCTCTATAATATTGTAGTAATAAAACAAGTCAGCGTGGGGGCTGTGTGGCATGGCTAATGTAGGGGGTAGCGAGCTTTCGATAGTGAGTAACACTTGACGCAACTGATGGGGGGTAAGAGTGTAGAAGGCAGGCGGCCCGTTAACAAAACGGAGACAGCGTGTACCGTAGTGTCAAGTATGGTTTGAACATTATCGAACGCTACAGTCAAACTAGAAAGGGATAACTGGAGGTGTGTAATCGCAATGAACTCCCGTGCCATCGATGCCTGGAAGGCCGTTACTTTAAACATTAGTGTGCGCACACTTGAGGGTAAATAACGGGCATGGGAAATCACGTGCGACAGCACCTCCGTATTCATCTCTGTTTGAATGCGAGTGTAATTTATAATGGTTAGTGATTCGTC